CACACACACACAGATTCACTCACACACACACACACACACAGATTCACTCTCTCACACACACACACACACAGATTCACTCACACACACACACACACACACATTCACTCACACACACACACACACACACATTCACTCACACACACACACATTCACTCTCACACACACATTCACTCTCTCACACTCACCCACACACATTCACTCTCACACACTCACCCACACACACACACAGATTCACACACAGATTCACACACACACACGCACACACACAGATTCACTCTCACACACACACACACATTCACTCTCACACACTCACCCACACACACACACACAGATTCACGCACACACATAGATTCACTTTCACACACACACACACATTCACTCTCACACACTCACCCACACACACACACACACAGATTCACACACACACACAGATTCAATCTCACACACACACACACATTCACTCTCACACACTCACCCACACACACACACACAGATTCACTCTCACACACTCACCCACACACACACACACAGATTCACGCACACACATAGATTCACTCTCACACACACAGATTCACTCTCACACACACACACACATTCACTCTCACACACTCACCCACACACACACACACAGATTCACACACACACACAGATTCACTCTCACACACACACACACACACATTCACTCTCACACACTCACCCACACACACACACACAGATTCACTCTCACACACACACACACATTCACTCTCACACACACATTGACACACACTCAAACACACACACACATTGACACACACGTTCAAACACATACACACACTGACACACACACAAACACACACTCAAAGACATACACACACACTGACACACACTTAAACAGATACACACACACTGAGACACAGACACAACTCACGCACACACAGACTTTAATTCTCTCTGAGCTGCAGCTCCAATGGGCTCTGTCTGTTCTCAGCTCTGGGAGAATAAACACCTCTGTTACATTAATCTCCCAGTCACGTACCTCCTCCGGTTCCTCACTCACCCTCCTGACACCCCCCCAGGTGACTCTGATTCCAATCCTGGCAGTTTCCCCCCACCCCTGGGGAGAGGGAGCTCTCTGTATGGTTCACAGCTCCAGAAAACCCAATTGCCCCCTTTGCGTTTCACATTGTATCTCTCTCTCTCTCTAATCTCTCTCTCCCTCTACCCCCTTCTCTCATCCTCTCCTTCATCCATCCATCTCTCTCCTCCATTTCTCTCATCCATCTCTTTCTTCCTCATCGATTTCTCTCGCTCATCTCTCTCTCCCATCCGTCTCCCTCATTCATATCTATCTCTCCCTCATTTATCTCTCTGTCGTCTCTCGCTCTCTCCCTCCTCTATCGCTCGCTCTTTCTCTCTCTCTCCCATCTATGTCCCCCACATCCATCTATCTCTCTCCCTCCCTCTTTCTCTCTCCCTCTCCCTCCCTCTCTCTCCTTCTCTTTCTCCCTCCCTCCTTCCCTCTCCCTCTCTCCCCCTCCTCTCTCCCTCCCTCCTTCCCTTTCTCTCCCTCCCTCTCTCTCTCTCCCTCCTTCCCTTTCCCTCTCTCACCCTCTCTCCTTCTCTCTCTCCCCCTCCCTCCCTCCCTCACCTTTCCCTCTCTCCTCTCTCTCTCCCTCTCTCTCTCTCCCTCCTTCCCTCTCCCTCTCTCTCTCTCTCCCTCCTTCCCTCTCCCTCTCTCTCTCTCCCTCCTTCCCTCTCCCTCTCTCTCCCTCCTTCCCTCTCCCTCTCCCTCCGTTGAAGAAAACGGGTCACTTTACTTGCGACGCCTCCTCCGGAACATCCCAGCGATGGGGCCGGTGCTAACAGCGCAGGAATTTGCTCTCTCTCTCCGTCCCTGTGCAGCTCCCAGTGCCGGGGAAATGCCTGTGTGCGCTTTCCAGCCCCTTCTCCACAGACACCTCCTGCTGGATCCTCCCAGGGAGAGAGGCAGCTGCTCTTCTCCCTCCCTCTAACCCTCTCTCTCACTCCCTATAGACCTCCCTCTAACCCTCCCACTGTCCTTCCTTCCCTCCCACTGTCCTTCCCTCCCACTGTCCTTCCTTCCCCCCCTCCTCCCTTCCCTCCCCCCCCCCCCTCCCACCGTCCTCACTTCCCTCCCACCCACTGTCCTTCCTTTCCTCCCTCTGTGCTTCCTTCCCTCCCTCCCTCTGTCCTTCCTTCCCTCCCTCCGACCTTCCTTCCCTCCCTCCCTCTGTCCTTCCCTCCCTTTAAACCTCCCTCCCTCCATCCCTCCATCCCTCTCTCTCCTTCTAACCCTCCCTCCCTCTGTCCTTCACTCCCTCTAACCCTCCCTCTGTCCCTCCCTCCTTCTAACCCTCCCTCCCTCCATCCATCCCACTAACCCTACCTCCATTTCCCTGTCCCTACCTCCATCCCTTTGCCCCTCCCTCCCTCTAACCCTCCCTCCATCCCTCTGTCCCTCCCTCCAACCCTCCACTACTGCTAGAATACAGAGATGGAGATGTGCCTCTGGGGGTCTGTGCAGGAGGAGATCAAGAATGAGAGGGGATGGGAAGCCAGGGATACACACATCCTCTCTCCTATAGGATTTTATTACCCTGGGAAGGACATTGAAAAGATTTACCAGAATGTTACGGAAACTGGAAGGTTTGAGTTAGAATCACTGCAGTGGGGAAACAGGCTTTTTGGCCCACCAAGTCCGCACTGACCCTCCAAAGAGCATCCGACCCAGACTCAGTCCCCTATCCCCTGTAACCCTGCATTTCCTATGGCTAACCCACCCTAACCCGCACATCCCTGGACACTATGGGACAATTTAGCACGGCCAATCCACCCTAACCTGCACATCCCTGGGACACTATGGGACAATTTAGCACGGCCAATCCACCCTAACCTGCACATCCCTGGGCACTATGGGACAATTTAGCACGGCCAACCCACCCTAACCTGCACATCTTTGGACTGTGGGAGGAAACCCACACAGACACGGGGAGGGTGGAATCGAACCCGGGTCCCTGGTGCTGTGGGGCAGCAGCGCTAACCACTGAGCCACTGTGCCACCCTATTTTTAGAGTTATAAGGAGAGGCTGGGACTTATTTACCCCTGGGGTTGTAGGGGGGAAGCAAAAACTGAAAGAACTGTGGATCGTGTAAATCAGAAACGAAAGCAGAAATTGCTGGAAAAGCTCAGCAGGTCTGGCAGCATCTGTGAAGAGAAAAACAGAGTTAACGTTTCGGGTCCGGTGACCCTTCCTCAGAACTGGGGTAGTTCCAAGGAAGTGTCACTCGACCCAAACGTTAAGTCTGATTTCTCTCCAAGGTTTAGGGGGATATGGGCCAGGGGCAGGTAGGTGGGACCGGTTCAGTTTGGGATAACGGTCAGCATGGACTGGTTGGGCCGAAGGGTCTGTGTCCACGCCGCGTGACTCTCTGGAGCTTTCCCGATATTAAGCTGTAAACCTGCTGGACATTTCACGGTAATATATTGAACATTGGGTTCATCCTGTCTCAGCTCTCTCAGAGGGAGAACAACTGTGGTATGTGACAGTCTGCTTCAGCAGTATTGCAGCATTTAAAGAAGAAACACAGATCGTGTGCCTCAGGATAATTTTTTTGAAGGGGCAAATTAATCATTACAGAATTCTGACATATAGCAGTTGAGATTTTTATGATGAGTGAGGTGAGTTCTATCTACATCCTGTTGAGGGAACGGGAGGGAATCTTACTGAGTTCCAGGAAGAGGGATATTGGGAAACCCAAAGGATTGTTGCTGGAAATCTGGAACAAAAACGGGAATAGCTGGAGAAAATCAGCCTCAGTTTTCTCTCCACAGAAGCTACCAGATCTGTTGAGTTTTAGAGTTAGAATTAGCTTTATTGTAAATTTTTTGGTTGTGGGATGTTAAGGTTATTCAGAGAACACATTCTGTAGCCACTGTTGATGGTCTAATAAGTATAAAATATCACACACGTATATAATGTATTTTCTATATTTCTCTCAGGGTTACATATCCAGTGACATTACCACTACACAAGGCAAATGCGATGTTAGCATTCATTTTGAGAGGGCTGGAATAAAAGAGCAGGGGATGTACTGCTGAGGCTGTATTAGGCTCTGGTCAGACAGTATTTGGTCAAGCAGCTTCCTTTCACGCAATACTGTCAGCGTAACATCCACAGAGGGTGCATGTTGAATGCAGGAACACCTTCATACCTTTATTAACAGACCAACATCAGCCTATTTAGTTAACACAGGGTGGAGCTGGAGGAACACAGCAGGCCAGGCAGCATCAGAGGAGCAGGAGAGTCGACGTTTTGGGTAGGGACCCTTCTTAAGGATGCCTGAAACGTCGACCTTCCTGCTCCTCTGATGCTGTCTGACCTTCTGTGTTCCCAACAGCTCCATGCTGTGTGTTGACTCTGCCTCCAGCGTCTATAGTTGTCGCTATCTCCGATCAGCTTATCTAGGGCTGGTTAACTACGTCACATTGTTAAATGCAGTCTTAATCTTGATCTGACATTAATTTTCTTTCTTATCACACGCGCAGTCACATTATAACCAGGTGCAGTCAACCACTTCATCCAGCGTAGAATTTATTGGAGCGATTGAGCTAAGATAATTTGAGGCTAAAAGTCAATAAGCGCGCAGAGCAGGAAATACCCAAATCACAAGGGTAAGAGTGAAAGTAGGAGTCGCGGAGCAAAAGACAGGATAACGGGATTGGCTAAGAATTGCCAACAGCAAGAACAACGTTAGCTGCAGGGAATAAGAACAGAGGAACCAGGAACCATGCGGCCCATCAAGCCTGCCCCACCATTCAATAGGATCGGGGCAGATCTTTCTGTGGACTCAGTTCCACTTAACGGCCATGACCCTTAATTCCTTTACTGTTCAAAATTCTATCTATCAACATCCAACAAGGGAGCCTCAACTGTTTCACTGGGCGGGGAATTCCACAGATTCACAACCCTTTGGGTGAAGAGGTTCCTCCTCAACTCAGTCCTAAATCTACTCCCCCTTTATTTTGAGGCTATGCACCCCCCCTAGTTCTAGCTTCACCCTGCCAGTAGAAACAACCTCCCTGCTTATCGATTCCCTTCATAATTTTATATGTTTCTATAAGACTCCCCCCTTCATTCTTTGAAATTCCAATGAGTACAGTCCCAATCTCTTCCCATAAACCAACCCTCTCAACTCTGGTGAATCTCCTCTGCACTCCCTCCAGTGCCAGTCCATCCTTTCTCAAGTAAGGAGACCATAACTCTACACATTATCCCAGGTGTGGTCTCACCAACATCCTGTACAGTCACAGCATAACCTCCCTGTTTTTAAACTCCATCCCTCCAGCAACGAAGCACAATATTCCATTTGCTGCCTTAGTTACTTGCAGCACCTGCAAACCAACTTCTTGTGATTCATGCACAAGGACACCCAGGTCCCTCTGCACAGCAGCGCGCTGCAATGTTTCACCATTTAAATAATCATCCATTTTGCTGTTATTCTAACCAAAATGGATGACATCACATTTGCCAACATTATACTCCATCTGCCAGACCCTTGCCCACTCTCTTAACCTGTCTATATCCCTCTTTCGGTGTCATCTGCAAACTTTGACAAACCATGTTGGGTCCCTAACTCCAAATCATAACTGTACATTGTAAGCGATCTCAACACTGATCCCTGAGGCACATCACTAACCACTGATCACCAACCAGAAAAAGACCCACATATCCCACTGCAATGGTCGTTTGGTCGGGCAGAAGTTAGATATAGCTGGAAAGACAGTCATGCTGCCAAAGACTTGCATCAGGACAACTGCAACCTCGCCCAAACTATAAAAGGTCATAACAATTTCTACGAGAGGAGAAAAGGGTGTTAAAGCTCCCAAGCTCCCTGATAATTCAAAAAGGCAGACCGCTTCAACATCTCCCTTCAGTTCGGGTCCTTATGTGGAATAAATGAGCTGCGTGAGACTCTCAATTGACT